AACAAAAAAAAAAAAAAAAAAAAAAAAAAAAAGGAAATTTGGTCCACCAGCTCAACGACAATCAAACTTCATCCACAACATACTAACTCAATACAAAAATTAAGTTCTACAGAACGATCATTGGCCCTGAAAATTAATAAATAATCAGTCAAGGAAATCTGCACGAGCAAAACCAACACATGAACCCCTTTAAACCCCAGGATGTAATTTAAATGTCACTTGCCAAAGTTTGTCCACTTGTTTCAAGATGTAAATTGCACAAGACAGATAGAGAAACGGAAACAAACAGGAACTGCCTCCTTTTAAGCACAAATGACCACCGAAAAAGAGACTGTTACATTATAAGGGTGAATAAAGAAAGGCAATACCAAACAGATTCTCACCAATAGCATAGTACCTGAGCAGTTCATCCAGGATACCAGGTAATTGCAACCCGCATTCCCTCGATTGGCCGCTGCAGAAAAATAACAAGAAGTTGCTGTCGGCATTCAAAACCGGGAAACAACAGTAGAGGAAATGAAACGTACAAAGGAATGACACACAGTTGAAGTTTCTTACTGCCCAAGTAAGAAACAGCTAACTGGCTTTTGACAAGATCTCTGACGTCCAGATCCAAAGGACCTAAAAATTCAGATTTCCGATTTTAAAGAAAAAGATCATACATACATCTACACTCTTGTGAACCAAAAACCTATAAGCAGAGACTCCACAACAGACATTTGAAGGAAGCGATCAGATTCAACTTCAAGCTCAACTCTTAAATCATATACGCATAAATGTTTTAACAAGATTAAAGCGAAACCCAATAAGATATGATTAAGCACCTCTGATTCCATCACCGCCCAACGTGAAACCAGCGATTTTGCCCTCCAATGTCCAAATTCCACTTGATTACGCGCTCGCTAACCCAAAATGCTCGCAAATATAACAAACAATCACGACCCTGATCACAATTTCAAACAAGGACAAAAACAAATTTGAAAATTAAAATCATCAGCATCATGATCGATCATCATAACCCAGAAGCAAGAAACCATGAACGAACCCATTCCTGGAAACCCATTCCTGGAAATCAAGAAAATACAAGACCGGAAATGAAAACGTCGAGAAAATCAATTTCAGAACCATGCGAACAGAAAATCGCATAGAGAGAGAAAAAACGGAGGCAAAACCCTACAGACCTCGAAGAGAAACGAACAACGGAGAAGAGAAGAACTCCGGGAATTCCTCCTCTTGTTCCGATTCCCGGACGCTTCTCCATCATCGACGCCCTTCCGCTTACACCCGCCGGAACATGAACCGCTTCCGACAACCTTCTTGATCCATCGCGACGCGCTTCTTCGATACACCGGAAATGTCGCGAAGAAATCCATCTCAGAAGAACAAGAGAGTGAAGAAGCACTGCAGTGCTCTTGGAAGGAGATGACGCGACGGTTCAGATTTATACAAAGTAAATATCTCAATTTACGATTTTACCCCTTGTCTAAGGGAGGGTTTTGGACCCAACGGATAAATAATAAGGCCTTTTAGGACAATTCACATACTGGACAGCTTGGCAGCAATCCATCACTCTTTTTTTGAAATTAATTTTAAAAAATGATTATTAATTAACAGCTGCCAGTGTTATTCACGCATGTACTGTTTTAGTTCCTTTTGAATTTTTCACCATTTTATATATCGTTTTAAGTAAAATTTGAAATCGTATATCTTCTATATTTATTAACAGTGATTACTTTGACCGAATTTATCAAAGTCGTGAAATCGGCTTATATTCTATTTTTATTCTTATGTAACGGTTTCACAAATCACAATAACTTTCGAGATAT